AGGCAAGCACTAAGACATACCGCAAGCACAACAGATGTACCCCCAACCGTGTTCTCTCCGCTTGCAACCTTAACACTGGGAACAGCGGAGTTTGGTCCAGCGTTTCCAGGTCACCCTCAGGTCGTGCCACCAGTTGCTTGCTGATATTATTGAATCTGAGTTCTTGGGTCTGCAACCTCAATCAAGCCTCATCAAGCCGCTACAACCCAACTCGTAGTAGTCATAATATGGGAGTTTCAGAAACTGCAGGAAACCTTGCAGCCAACAACCACACAAGTAGTGTAATCCTGAATCTGAGGATCCCGCCCCTCCTCACCAGAGAAAGGAACCTCTTCTCGGAGAAATCCTATACTTTCTCGACTCAGCGCTTTTTGGCTTGTAAGATGGACATTGCATTTGAAAAGATCGCGAATGATCGAAGCTTAGCATCACCTCGTACATCCTGTATGTATTTGAGTATGACAGAACGTGTGTATGTGCGTCACTGCATGTCTGTATGTACGTATGCATGAATGATAGCGGTCGTAATCATACCTACATATGTTATGTTTTGTATGTATGTATGTATGTACGTATGTATGCAAGTGTGTATGCATGCATGCATGTATGTAATTTTCGTATGTATGTTTGTTCGTATGTATGCATGTATGTAACATGTGCAAGCAAGCAAGCAGAGAGAGAGAGAGAAATCGACTCCTGGCAAGGAGACGGGCACCCGCGTTGTCTCCGCCCCGAAGGGTTAAGACGCAAACGGGGCATGGGGCTCCGCAAGCGTCATGGCCCCATGCGAAGCAGAGCAAACGCAGCAGCAGCAGCAGGAAGATGACGGAAGTGTGAAATCAACAGTATGCGATCCGAAAGCCGTGGTTTGATGATTTGCAACAAATCAAGACATCCTCAACACACGGTGCTAGGAGGTAAGCGGCGGGAGTCCTGAGGAGATGGGCCTTGCTGAGCATCATGCTGCTTCCGGCTGTTTAACAAGGGGTGTCAGGAGTAACCCTCCAGCAAGGATGTAGCGTGACGCAACTGTGATCGACCGTCTTATAACTATAACCGATGACACCAAGGTATAGCCCGAGCCAACGGGCACCACCACTTCCACCTGGAATAGTACGATATTGCAATGGAGAGTCGCCATGCTGACCTCCACGTGTGAGATGAACTGGTAGTCAGCGAGTGGGGAGCACCATTGCTGCGACCCGGTTGTGGGAGAGGGGAGCACCATTGCTACGACCCAGGTGAGCGGGAGGGCGGGTGGGTGATTGCAATGCGGGGAGCACCAACGCTACGACCCGAAATACAGCAAACGGGGAGCACCATTGCTACCACCCGTGGAAGGGGGGAGAGGGGGTGGGGCGGGTTAAGTCAGGCCGTACCATACCACGAGGAATGTGCAACTTGGTGTCTTCCAATAACTCAGCTGTGTCCTTCCCTCCCAATGTACTTGTATGATGTTATCAAAGCTCCGTCCGTGTGATTCAGCATCCGGTCGCCCCGGTATGACCGACTTCGTGCGGCCGTTTGTTTCCAAGGGCGTATCGAAGACTTCATTCAGCGAGTCGTCGGTAGCTCTTTTCCATCGCTGCCGCTCAGCCTAGATGGAACTGCACAAGAATGTCCAATCTCACCTGTTGGCACTGCTCCCAAGACGCACACTCTCAACAGACATACGTAAGGAACCAGGGCCTTTTCATTCGACTATACCGGGGCAGCATCATGACCACCTGAGAGTAATCAATCATGGCCTTCCTGAGAGTAAAGCATGCTGCATGTAAATGTACGGCACTTTCGCCCTAGTGCAACTGGATGGGGGAAAGGGGGGTGCTCGTCGAGTCGCCAACGACTCTTAGTGCCGCCCCGGGGGTCCACACCCTTTCCAGCACCAGCCCACCCAGCAAAGACAAGCACTAGGCCCCGGGGGCAAGCAAGCAAGCAAGCCAGCAAGCCGGCAAGCCAGCAAGCCAGCAAGCATGCATGCATGTACGAGGTGTAGAGTGATGAGATGTAATGTAAGGGACTGCGATGCAATGTCTATGTATACATGGTGGTATACATGTATGCCCGCATGCCCGCATGCATGTTTGCATGCATCTACGCATGTGTAGCTGCATGTATACATATATGTCTGCGTGTATAACCTATGTATGAATGCATGTATGTCCGTAATGATGTATTCAGCAGTTGTAAGGAAGTAGGTACTCAAGCACTTCAGTATGTATGTGTGTAATTACGCATGCACATTTTTATGTATGATATGCTTCTACAGATACATCTACATATAGTCTTATGCACATGTATATATGTACCTATCTCTGGCTGTCTGTCTGCCGGTCATGTGCGGCTAGCGTCTTGTGGCGCTGGCGAGCTTTCCTGTTTCTGCTTCTTGTAACTATCGGTAGTGTCTGCAGCGATAGCTCAGCGTTGAATATCATCCATCAGCTGGGTTCTTGTTAAGGGATTTAAGTTTATTAGAATACGTACAATAGTAATTAAATAAACCATAGTATTGACTATAGATCCCTATTCTGGTAACCTAAATTAAATCCCTTAACAAGAACCAAGCTAGTCACGTTTTCTCATTCCTTGCACAGGCTGCCCTGAGCTTCCAGGCAGGACGTGGGTTGGGAACCTGGATGGGTTTAGGGTTTAGGGTTTAGGGTTTAGGGTGCGTTCGGCACTGCCATGTCTAGTGTCCTCATTGCACCAGCGACTCCTAAACTTTAAGCCCGTAAACCCCGCACCGTGTATATTTTGAGCAGTCCCGTCCCTGTGGCTTGAGTAGGAGCAGTAGCATTGACTGAGATTGAAGCTTGCGTACCAACATCGACGATAGTTTTGTTTTGAACATCTGTTCTCACCAGCGGCCTCGGGATATCTCGCTACATGTTTAATTGCCAACATATTGCGCTTCAGCGCAGCAAGCTCATTTGTCTGGGCAAATCTACAGTCAGGATGTGTGCCAGCATGTTGCGTTGCATTGTGCAGCAAGGGTGCTCAGCACGTGTTACATGGTTCACAGTTTCACGGCTGCGTCTGAGAGCATGTGAAAGGTTACCAGGGCTTATAGTGAACCCCAGGTGGAACGGATGATTCATGCTGGGGTTCCCTATACTTGACTTTAAGGGCATGAGGCTAATGATGTTCCAGCTTTCTGGCTTCTACTGCAAACCTTCGAGTATGGGGTGCTTATCTGCTTGTTGCATTAAGCAACGTGGCATCATGTCGATGGCTAACTTGTTGGGTTTCTTGACCTTGAAACCAGTTGCTTTCATTTTTGCATGCTGCAATCTGATTGTGTTTCTTTGGGTGCTTCAGTTCTTCGCACCCCTGCGCCAGGCCCTATGGCGTTTCGCTGACTAATGTCACACTGATCTTGATGATCATGTTTTATGCTTCGTTTCTTGCATGCGCCAGCCAAGATTGGCTGAGCACGCTCATGACAGGTCATGTCAAGTCGCACCTGCTCTTACGAAGATGTCATGGAGGCATCATCAGTCTCTCTTTCTCTCTTACTCTGTGTATATATATACACATACACATACAATTAATTATATACGACAATTCTTAGTTATATTCTGTGTAAAGCGCGCATCTCTCTCTCTCTCTACAATATTCATATGTAACAACACTGAACTAAATGTGCATATATCTATACATATATGTATATATACATGTGTGTGTATATATATATATATATGCATGTATATGTGTATTCACATATATATATATATATATATATATATAGATAGATACACACATACATCTTTACCTATGTATGTGAAAACCAGTTCGCAGCCCGATAGAGCCGCAAATTGATAAGCAGTCTTCCGATCGGAAAACAATCGCGGTGCGCACAGATGACCTGTCGCTGTGGGCAAAGTTTCCTAATTCTTGGCGCTGTGATAACCCACGGCATGCCGCACGCACTTTGGCTGTGTCAGCTTCGATGCTGAAGATCAGAGGACTACCTCACGATCCTCTATCTACCCTGTTAAACCGCTATTAAGCCCCAAATAGCTACAGTCCGCGGCGCTGTACCCACTTCAGGGTACTGAAGAGATCTTCCGACGAGAACAAAGCGGATTCCGAGGTTTCTCTACCAGAAACGCTCCGATCAAGACTTAGAGCAGCCTGCTAGGGGGGTCGGGGGACTTAGTAAGTAGTTAGTAAGTAGACTTATAAGTAGCCTAAAAGGCACCCTAATTGGGTTATGGTACCTAGAAGTCCCTAAAATAAGCAGTTACTAAGTCCCCCGACCCTCCAAGTGACCTGCAACAGCGCAAACCCCTCTTGACTGCACAGTTCGGTGCCGCCTTGACCTCAATCAACCAACCCTTTTTGTCCCTACGCCCCAAATATCCCGAGCAATGAACCCCTGAAGCGCTAATTCGGACAACCTGCATCGAATCTTCGAACACGCCATCTTAAGCCATTTCTGAAGTCAGTCGGCGGGACGGGAAGTGACCACTCTGCCGGAAACCAAAGTCTGTTTACATTTTTCTGTTATTGCACCGCTCACTCAACCCAGCCCCTAAGTCTGGACTCTGCATGCCTCAAGACAGGTAATAAGACTATCACAGCAGACAAACGCCATAAACTCGTAGCAGACCCGGAACACAATCTACCACCCAAGACCAAAAGGAGGACCAACCAACAGGAGAAAAACTCGTGCACCAAGCCAGCAGACGTCGGTTCCACAAGCAGTAAGTGTCCCCACTCTCCAAGGTCCAAGTACCCAGTCATCATATGCTCTTTCCAGGTCCCAGTTCGAACCAACGTAACTACTGCACTGAATTCGAGAATCTAGTTATCCCTAAACTATTATACCCTAGACCCTGAACCCTATTGTAAACCCTAACCCTGAACCCTAAACCCTAAAAACTAAACCCTATCATAAACCCTAAGCTCTATTGACTCCTTTCTTGGCAGGGACCTTCCTACCCATCTCCGGTTTCACCGCCACGAATACGCCCAGGGATTTGAGAAGGTCCCCGGTCATGACCAGATTCCTAGCCTTCGTGCTCTTGTAGGTGGGATTTTGGGACATTGTTGATGTTCCTTGTGTGGGTTTATAAGGGACCCTCTATATAAATATTTTTCAGGGTGTTTAAAGGCCAGCCCAGTCTTTATGCGGAACATATGAGGTAATGAGTTAATCTAGGAGCCTTTTATTTAACATCACTGTGCAACGAGCTTTTTATGATTATGGTTGCGAAATGCAAACATACGATAACTAGCCCTCAACTCAGTGTTCATAGCTATAGCACCTGTAAGAACTAAATCCTAAACCCTAAGTTAAACCCCTATATTAGGGCCTCCCAGTCCCAATTCTGGAGTATTTGCGACTCGAGCCCTCTGAAGCACGGGACGTGCAACGTCTTGGGCAGCGGAATCTGCTGGCATATCAGCCGGTGAGCAGTTTCAATACTTGCTGATACCTTTTTAAGGAATTCTTCTCCCTGAGTAGCCCTGGCAGCAGCGGCGGCGTAGGAATTGTGCTGTACCAAAGGTTGCGTTTCGTTTGCATGCGAGGGCGAGCCTTGCCCGTGTCAGCACACAATGAAAGTGCACACACACACACACATCCATGTATGTAACGATATGTGCATATCTAATTACACTCTGATCGTCCATTTGTATGCATGTTTCTTTATATACGCGCATTTGCATGCATGCGTGCATGCCCACATATACAACTTGCCTGCTTGCCTACCTGCCTGCCTACCTGCCTGCCTGCATTCACATATTTATAAGTATACATACAGACAGCCAGCCAGACAGATAGACAGACAGACACACACACACACACACACACATACATATACATATATATATATATATATATATGTATATATATATATATATACATACATACACACACAGAGTCCACTACCGTGCGTGTTGCATTTGAAACAGCAGTCTACGGAGCTGCAGTTGGGCCACAAATCACTCGGCGTTCTTGGCCACGAGGCAAGTCTGCAATCTGGCCAGATACCCTAAATCTAAATCTTAACCGCGAACCTTGAAACGTAAACCTAAGGGAGAACCATGCGGTTGATGATATAAATCCTGCATTACCCTAAAGACCCTAAACTATGGGAATTATGGTATATTCCTTCGTATGGGTAATGCAGATTTTTATCATCAACCGTATAACACCCCGGCAAGACCTGAGACCCTGAAGTTGCCAAGTCCAAGAAAAGCTGTAGGAAGTCTTGAGGCTCAAAGGATTCATCGCATAATATAGGGGCTTTAACAATTAGAATTTGCTTTTGGGGTATACAATACTGGAATCTAATAAGGAACCCGCAAAATAGTATCGGTAAGTAGTGTATGGCCCCTTCAGTAGGAGGATAGATGTATCCGCAATGTAGCCTGTGTGGAGTTATCTTGCCCAAAAGCCTACTCAAGGCCAATACGTCCCTTGATTCTTCAAGTACGAAGAAGGTACGCCTCTGCCGAGCCCATCTACATCGCAGATCTTATTGAGGTGCGAAGCCTACTGTCTGGGCAGCTCATGCACTACTGCGGTTGTAAGGTTCGGTTTGGAGCTGTGATGGTTCAGTGGGAAAGACGGACAAACTCGGGCGGTTTAGACGCAAGTGCTGCTTGCGAGCTGCAAAGTTTCATGCGGGAAAAGCTAAGCACCTACCACCATGGCAGGGTTAGGGTTTAGTGTTTAGGGATCTCTGGCTTCCAGAATTGAGTGATATTTTGGAGATATTTAGCATCTAAGCAGTGGTGGTTCAACAATCCAGGCTGTCTCTTCAAACCTCATCTGCCCTTGAACCTTGAACCGGGACTCTCTCTTGTTTTTCAGTTCTGGCTACGGGATATCACGGGTATGAAACTGGCAGTGGCCGCACCGTCGTGTATCGCGAAGACTAACTTCCGTGTTCAGCTCTTAATTTGAGGCTGATCTTGATTCAATGTTGTACTGAACTGACCCTAAGCTTTAAGCCGTTAGATCACAGGTGGGGTTATTGGGGGTTTGTGACCAGTACAACGAAGCATCCATGAATCCCAGTATATTGGGCAGCCCGAGTGGTCGTCAATACAGACAGACCGACAGATACGCATCATGGAAGTCCTTGACATCTCCTATACCCAACCATACGTAGACATGAACCTTCAAGTATGTCCACCATGTTGACAAACCCTAAGCCTGAAACCCCAAGCCTCATCGCTCTCCCTAAACCCTACAACCCCAAACTTTATGCCTCCACCCTGAACCCTAAGCTCTCAACCCTAGGCGTCTCGGCTCTAGCGTAGTTTCCCTTTGGGTCCGCTAGGCCGTAGTACCCCAAGTGAGGCCAGCAGGCCCACGACAGCCGCGCACCTCCCTCTGTACGCTCTGCGAGGAGGAGGCTGCTTTCTGCCCCACTGAGTACTCCAGTGGCTGGCTTTGCGAGTTGGGTTTCTCAGTTTGTTGGAGGCGAACTTGAGAGACTCTTCCCGCCAATCCCTTTTTGGTGCTTCTTTATGCTCTTTGCCCTCACGGTCCTCTTCGGAATCCTGGGTGGCAACGGTGGCGAGAGGAGTGCCGGAATCCTCGGCCCATCGTCGAGCTCGACGAGGCCGGACAGCAGCCAGATTTTGCCTGCGGGCCTGGCTGACAGCGCAAAAGGCTTGCTCGGAACAAGAGCTGGCCAGAGCTTGCGGTGTGCTGCGACACCACCACAGTCGCAGCACATTGCCGGCGGCAGTGGAAAGAAGGCTACAGATACAAAAGATGCCGACCAACTCCGGATGGTGGTGCGGCATATGCCACAAACATGTCAAACAAAAGGCGACATTTTGCCCGGACTGTGGTGGACACTGGAAGAGTTGCATGCAGCCCCAGACCTACACAGCCAGAGACGACAACCCTCCTTGGAAAGCTTCCTGGAGGGCGGAGGAGGCCAAATCCCCTCGCCGACCAAGGCCTTCTCCACGACGACATGGCAAGGGACAGCAGAAAGGAAAGGAAGCCGGAGAGGGTGCCGGGAAGGGCAAAGACATGCCTCCACAGCCCCCCTCTATGGACATCTTGCCGACGGCGCCGGCTCAGCCATCGGTTGCAGTGCCCAAGAAGGGGCCGACAGAGATGCCGCCGGACCCTGCCAAAGCACAACTGGAAGCACTGTTGGGAGCCCTGTCCTCGTCGACGGCGTCGCTTCCTCCAATAGCCCAGCAGATGATCGCGACCATGCAAGAATCTACAGCACAATGTGCAACTCGAGCTATGCACAAGGCGGTAGCCGAACAGGCAAAATCCCGCCAAGCGTTGGCAAAGGTGCAAAGCCAGCGTGCAGCCTATCTCCAGTCATGGCACACGTACATGTCACAACTAGCCTCCTTGCTGGAAAGCCAGGTTGCAGAGCAGGCAGCGATCCTCGAGAAATTCGACCAGTCCGAAATATTGTGGTCCCAAGCGGACCACCAGGCGACCCAAGCCCTGGCCCGCTTAGCAGGGGCCGAGGCGGGCACCACCACGGACCCGGTGGAGCGCGACATGGAGGTCTCAGAGGATGCAGTGGAACAGGCTATCGAGGTGGAGCAGAAACTACAGGCAGCTACGCACGAGAGCCAGCAGTCGGCCAAGAAAATGGTCGATGCACTTCACGAAATGAGGCAGTCGGCAGAAGACCAGCTGCAGAAGGGCGGAAGAGAAGGATCTCGCACGCCCAGACGAACGACAACGGTGGAGCCCACCGACGAGAATGGGGAAAGCAGGGATGCCAAAGATGGGGGGCCAAAAGCTGGCGCTACTGGCGCTGCGCTCTCGGCCTTCAAGCTTGGTGGTGCAGTCCCTGGTGCGGCTCGTACATAGGCCACTTGGCTATGTACGAGCCGAAGGCTATTGCCGACAGGTCACTTTTGTATCCTGTCGAGCGGGATGAAGCCTTTGTTGGCCCCGAAGCGGCTCGCATGCTGGGGTGCATGCAGGCCTTCGAGCACAACATTGTTACAGCCATGGGTGAGATGGTACACACAGTGTGGGAGGACCCCCGCCTAGACGAGTGCAGGCATGCTGTTCCATCAGAGTACGACCGGGCACTGCTACAAGCGAGGGTTCTGAGTGGAGCTACAGATGAACGTGTACAGTGTGTACAGAAGCGCCAAGCTATGAGTTTTCCAGCGAAAAGCTGTCTCAAGGACGCTGGGCATCCGGACGACTGCCCGGTCCCGGCTGTCTCATTCTTCCGTGTTCCTTCCGAGCGCATGGGTGGGCCGGATGTTGAGCACGATGCGGATGAGGGGGCTGTGCAGGAGCAGGCTTCTGGATGTTGCAGATTTCTTGGGGGAGTCTCGCATAGAGAATTTTCCAGTAGGGCGTGTGGCTCCAGAGGTACTAGGAAGCCACGTCTGCTCAGCAAGGTCAGGTTCGAGGTCAAAGGCCAGACCGATTTGCTTTTCCACGATTGGGCTCTTCAGTTCGACCGCATGGCCCGTCGTGCGTCCCCGCGTGTGCCGCCTGTAGCGCGCACCGCATGCAACCCTTTGCCGATCCTTGCTCCACACGGTATAGGTTGCCCTGGTCCTGTCCGCCCCTTTTGGCCCTCCCATATTTCATACATGCTTGCAGAGCAGGTGCGTCTGGTGCCAGAAGATTTTGATTACACTCTCCTGCGCCGGCCGGCGGCCTTGCTGGTACCGGAGCTTCGTGCCCTCTTTGACGCAACCCAGCGGGGAAGGTATACCGTGTTTGAGCCAGGTCAACGGCCCCGAACTCGGCAATGCCACGTGAGCTGGCTGCTTGAGGACTTTGTGGCAGATGCAGTGGGTAGCTCGGTGCAACAGCCGCGCTCAGTTCAGATTCTGCAGCGGCCCCTTGCAGGGCTTCCAGGGCCGCACCTGGTTCTCACACACCTGGATGCTCCATGGGCTTTCCTTGCAGTGCCTTTTGACATGCGAGGCTCGCACGGCAATGTTGTCACAGCACATGTGCCGCCTGCAATACCACTGGAGCTAGTTCCAGGCTACGTTGCGCAAGGCGCCCCTATCCCATCCATGCTGACCTTTCCAAACGGGCCACCAACCCGTCTGGTCGATGCAGCTGGAGAACAGCATGAGAACATACGGCCGCCAGTTGATAGATATGAGTGGCTTGTTCCTCAGTTTGCGCCACAACACGCTCTGGGTGAAGTAGTAAATAGGGAGGAGCTCGCCGCTACAACAGCTACCACAACCTGCATGCAGCCGCCTTCCAGACGAAACCGCTCTAGATCCCTATCCAGCTCGCCTGAGCCGCCGTCCTCAAGCAATGCTCCGCCCACGCTGTTGGGGGCTACGGGGGGGGGAGATTGTCAAGGTCCTCGAGGTTCAGGTGCAACAGGTGCCGGAATGCAAATTCCCAGTCGGCCCGGCAGTTATCTCGAACCAAAGTCATTCTTCCCGCAGGTACTTGCGTGCCCGCGACGGCCCGACAGGAATACCTTGCGACATGCTGCCAGCATCCATGTCAGCCCACAGTGGGCGGCCGACACCATGCGGCCTGCTACACCTTTGCACATGCATGCTTGGTCGGGCTTCCTCCCTGTGCAAAACACCGCTCCAGGTTGCTCGCTGTCGCACTATGGCTTGTTTGATGTGCAAGGGCAGGCTCGCATTCGAAGAGCCGCGGCAGATTGGACCTTAGCCGAGATTGTGGCCGACATAGTTAGCATTCTGCCGGATACGGTTTCCATACGGGTCTTAGCCAAAACACTGCCGGGCCTACCCCAGCTGCAGATAGTGGCACGACCCCGACATGCAGCCGACGTTGAAGGAGTGCTGCCCGTGGACCTTCGACCTACTGGGGGCACCATTTGCACCCTTCTTTTCGCAGGGGGGACATCTCAGCAACAGGTTGGTCACAATGTCAAGACTAGATGCCGCACACCGCAGGTTACGCTTCTTACCGCCAGTGGTGACAGTTTCGCCCAGCTCCCACTTGTGGCGGATGACGCTGAATACCTGCATTCAGCGGCAGAAGGTTTTTCTAGAAGCGCGGCTATCGGCCTTCGTGGGGCCACCACGACATCCACCACCACTGGTGTTCTAGCGTGGGCCGGCGGCACACCTATGGACTTGCAGCACCAGGTCACAGTTCTCACCAGACGTGGCCCTGTGGCAGGCCCAGTCTTGTCAGGCCGAGCAGACTTGCCATCACACCTGGAACCGATCATGACACACATTTTGAGTTATGGTCATGCCCCATTCCAGAGCGCGCTCATGTTGGCGCGAGTGCAACCCACTTCGCAGGATCGGGTTTTTCAGTCCCTCTTTCTTTGGGTCAATCGCAGTCCTCGGGTTGCCAGTGTTGTTGTGGACCGGCGCCTCCTTTCACAGGGCTTGGAACTTGTCGAACTTCCAGAGGGCACTGAGCCACATCAGGTGTTGACCGCTCAAGATCGCCAGCAGGGATATGAGCTGTCAATCAACGGTGTTGCCTCTCCTGCCTGGCACAGACGCTTGAGAACCGGAGACGTTGTTCAGGTGCTTAGGCGACGCTTTAGTCCGCCTGTATGGTCCACTGGCATCGTGATGGACTTCTTCCCGGAGGCAAGGGCACTCACAGTGCCTCTCGCCCTTCTGGACGTAGAACGTTTGCCAGTCGAGGTGCGTGACGAACACCTGTCCTCTAATGCGGCAAGTATCCGAGGGCAGCTTGAGTTCTTTATGGCACAAAGGCTCGATGAACTGGGACGCCCAGGTCCAGAAACTCAGCATGTGGTAGTCCAAGGCCCGACACATGGAGATCTTTTCCTATGTATGCCTGGTGCCCTGTCGCCTAACGTGGCACAAGTTGAGGAGTTTCTTCAGGGCACTTCTTTCTGGGACTCCCAGTTGCTCGTGCATGACACAGGGCATTCAGTTGGGCTTATGTCCTACTTTGCCACATCCCAGCCCAACACCCGGCTCTATACGGCACTGATCCCCTCACCATTTGTCGACACCATGCTCGTGGTGCAGCTGGATCCGCAGCGCCCGCAGATCAGTGGGCATGTTTTCTACTTAGGACACCTGCGCCCGGCAGCAGTGCGCCAACTAAGGCAAGGACTTTACATAGAAATGCAACACGTCAACCTGCCCCAGACTGACGGGCTGCAGCTTTTGCAGCGCGGAGCTGTGGTTCTTAGGGGAGCCGACTCGTCCATTGCAGCTAGTGAAGACAGGCCTCTTACCGACTGCCAGACACAACCTGTGATCGGTTGTGCCACACAGGCGCTTAAAGGACGAGTGCAGAGGCAGATCGAACACTTAGAAGCCCGCATCAGCGCCACCAGAACCTCAGTTGCCACTCCGTTCGGGCGCCAGAGAATTGCTTGCAGCAATGGATGTGAGGCTAACGGCCCCACGCCCATTCAAAATGCACTGGATGCGTTGGACAGCACCTCCACATGTGCGCCTGACAAGGATCCCGATCAAGAGCTCGCAGTGTTGTTGCCAGCTGCTCCAGCCAGTAATCCTCGGGATCGCGGAGACCGGGGCATCCCAACACCTTTCGGAAGGCGACAGTTAGCCACTGCTAAGCCGACGGCCGTGCCTATCAGCCTCCAAACCGCTTGCCCAGCTCACCAGACAGGCTCCCCTGCATTGAGCCTGGGCGTCACTTCGGATTCTTTTTCGGATGTCTTTGGAGATTATACCCTAGAATCCTTATGCACCGACTGGCGCTCAGTGCCAGACATTGCACCGAACAGCGCTCAGTTTCTGGCCACTCTGCCAAGCCCGCCACCAGGGCTCAAGCCAGATGCCCTGCAGCTCTACGCGGACGGTTCATTCTTCCCTGCAGAAGGAGCCTGTCCCATCCGCTCTGGATGGGCCGTCTGTTTTCTAGGGCGGTTTAATGGAGAATGGTGCTGGTTGGGCTTCGTCTCGGCCAGTACAGGTGCCGATGGTAACGATTTCTCCTGTGGAGTGCCGATTGAGTCGGCCTTCGAGCCTGAGCTCTCAGCGGTGACATTTGGTCATGCATACTGCATCCAACTGCAGGTCCAGGCACTGATCGCCCATGACAACACAGCAGCTGCGAGCGTTGCATTCGGCGAGGCCAAGGACAGCAGACAGCTGGCACTAGCACACGCATGTTTGTCTATGCAGCACATCGCCCGATTGCAACAGCAGCCGATTTACAAAGTGCATGTCAAAGCGCACTCTGGCCATCCGCTCAACGATTTCGTTGATGGCGCAGCAAAGGCCGCAGCACGCTCTGAATTTGCTTGGACGCCGCCTGTTGCCATTGCTGAAGCGCAGGCGCAAGGAGTACTCCCTTGGCTTTGGTGCGCGTGCCGGCTTTGTCCGTCAATGCCAGCAGTGTCAGAAACAGGGGTCATGCTTGAGGATCCCAAGCCAGAGGTGCCACTCTGCACTTTAAGTGATCATTTCCGGCACGGTAGGGCGCAGCCTGAGCAAAGGACAATCTTCGACTTCCGTGCGATCACATATAATGCACTCTCGGCCGCCAGCATAGTCCAACGCGAAAGCCTCGATCACCAATTTGACCGGCTTGGGGCAGCCATCATTGGCATCCAAGAAAGCAGGCATGAGATTGATCCCCGCTCAGGCACCACTCACTTTCACGTGTTAGCCAGCAGGCCTGAGGCGGGCCAACTCGGCTGCCAGATCTGGTTTCATCGCACCAAACCTCTTGCATGGGCAGGCGACCAACCGCTCACGTGGAATGCCAATGCATTCTCCATCATTTCTGCCAGTCCAAGACATTTGCTTGCACTAGCCCGAGCAGGATCCGTGTCCATTGCAGTGCTTGTGGCCCACGCACCCACAAGCACGGCCAGCGCCTCCGCGCGGGAGATGTGGTGGAAAGGCCTTCATAGCCTTATGAAGTGCATCCCAGCGCGATGCACCCCTATCGTCCTGATAGATGGGAACGCGCGATTTCACACAACACCCACGCCGCCTACTGGCCAGTCCGCTACCAATGAGAACGCCAGAGCGTTTGCGCATTTTTTGCAAGAGCATGGACTGTCAGCCTCCCCAACGCAATTAGAGGACGGCCGGCCAGTCGTTAGCTACCTAGGGCCAGCCAATCGGCCAGCATGCCTTGACTACATCGCGATTCCACAGGGCCTGAGTGCGGGTATGCAACCAGAAGGGGCGCTCGCTAAGTTCCAAGGCTGTTCAGATCAAGACCATTTTCCAGTCTGTGCTCGCATGGGCTGGAGCTGTCTTGCAACTGGCAACCCGCCAGGGCGAACCTGGGATGTCGATGCCATGAGAACAGAAGAAGGCAAGGCCAAGATTCGGCGAATATTCGCTGCTGCGCCGGTTGTACCATGGCGCCGACATGTCGATGATCATCTTGTCGAGCTCAATGATTATTTGAGAAGTGCCATCTCCGCTGTCTTCCCTCGCACTCCACGAGCACCGCGCTCAGGCATCATCTCGATGGAGACCTGGGAAATCGTGCGAGCCAGGCGTGAAGCCAAAAGACTCCTGCATGTTCTGCGTGAGCAACACCAGAGAGCATTGCTCGCCGAGCTCTTCTGCTGCTGGAAGGGTAGAGTCACAGCCCGGGCTGCACCACATCTCAGACGGCTCAACATGGCTCTACTCGCCGTCCAGCTTCGCGGGCTCAACAGACAAGTTAAGCAAGCTGCACGTGTGGACGCCGCGGCTGCGGCACGGCTTAGGCTTGAAGAGGCAAGACATACAGGACCTGAGGCACTGTTTTCTGTGTTCCGGCAAATCACCAAGACGGGACGCCGTTACAAGGACCCACGCCTCAACCCCATCATAGCCACCCCTAACGGTGAAGTCGCGCCCGACTCTATGAAAGCCTTAGGGGATAGCTTTGCCAAAGCGGAGCGAGCACACATCACGACCATGGACCAGGTCCGCACAGACAACCTGCAGCCCTTGACTGCTCCGCTACCAGTTCACGATGCCCTAAGCATACCAGCGATGGCCAGAGGTTTCCTTGCACTTAAACCTCGTAAGGCCACTGGGGCCTCCGGCTTGCCGGCGGAGCTGTATGCAGCCGACGCATTAGGGGCAGCTACCGTGCATGCTCCGATAGTCTACAAGGCACAGGTGAGAGGAGGATTGCCAAGCTTGTGGCGTGGGGGGATCGCGTATGCGATCCCCAAACCAGGGAAACCTCCGTCTCAACTGGAGGCCTGGAGAAGCATCCTTTTGTGCGAACCAGCTTTGAAAGGCATCACCTCAGCTCTGCGTCAGCTGCGTACGGCAGCGCAGGGTGGAAGCAGAGCCAAACTCCCCC